GGGTTTGCAACGAGTCCGTTCCTCCCCACCCGCTGGAGAAAATGTCATGTGTGATAAAGAAAGATCACTTCAAGGTTGGATAGATGTTATCTGAGAAGCTTGTGCTACCAAAATTGGCAACGGGGGATTTCAGAGCTGGCAAAAATACTGTGGAAGCTCAAAGTCCATTTCAATCAGGCCTCGGCCTCAAACAAAGGAGAAGAAGAAAAGCGAGATAAATCAGAAGGACGACAACTCTCGGCCTTCGAGAGGCCTCAAAGAAAAATGGATTTTTCTGGATCGATTTTTCCCAAGACACAAAATAAATACAAAACCTCGTTTTGCAGACCACCTGCAGGGGGTCCTCGACTTACGACCGTAAGGGAGACTTTCCCCATGACCATTGTAAATTGTGACGGTCGTAAAGCGGGTCACCCAAGCGACAATTTTATGAGCCTTTTTTGTGGCGGATGTTAAGCCACATACCACAGTCATTGTTCGTTTGGGGCCATTTTTGCAGCATCCCCAGGATCATGTAACTGACTCATATTTATGACGGTCGCAGCGTCCCCCGGGGGGTCACATGATCCCCTTTTGCGACCTTCTGACAAGCAAAGTCAATGGGGGAGCCTGATTCACTTAACGACCGGGTTACTAACTTATCAACGGCAGGGACTCCGTTAACAACGGTGGCAAGAAAGGTCATAAAAGGGGGCGAAACTCCCTTAGCAACTGTCTCGCCTAGCAACAGAAACTTTGGGCTCAGTTGCGGTCGTAAGTCAAGGACTGCCTGTAAATTGCACGGGACACGGCAAATGGACGTCAATGTGGGTCGGTCGCTGAGTGTCTGAAATGCAGTCATGGAACTGCAGTGTGGGTGTGTAGATGGGTGTGTACGCAGGGACCATCGCAACTTTAGATATGGGTTAGCTTTCAGTGGGGTCCCTCGCAATTTTGAATGGTTACTAAGCAACCGGTCATAAGATGAGGACTACAGTACTTGCATTGCTGTGTTTGCACTACACACTAGAACTAAAATCAGCCTTTCTAATGGCTTAGCCAGATGTCCTGGTTCACATAATACAGGGGGTCTTCAAACTTGGCCCTTTTATGACTTGTGGACTTCAACTCCCAGAATTCCTCAGCCAGGCACGCTGGCTGAGGAACTCTAGGAGTTGAAGTCCACAAGTCATAAAAGGGTCATAGTTCCCTCACAGTGGTTGAGGAATTCTGGGAGTTGAAGTCCACAAGTCATAAAAGGGTCATAGTTCCCTCATGCCCAGCTGAGGAATTATGGGAGTTGAAGTCATAAAAGGGTCAGTTCCCTCACGTTAGCTGAGGAATTCTGGGAGTTGAAGTCCACAAGTCATAAAAGGGTCATAGTTCCCTCACACTGGCTGAGGAATTCTGGGAGTTGAAGTCCACAAGTCATAAAAGGGTCATAGTTCCCTCATGGTGGTTGAGGAATTCTGGGAGTTGAAGTCCACAAGTCATAAAAGGGTCATAGTTCCCTCATGCCCAGCTGAGGAATTCTGGGAGTTGAAGTCATAAAAGGGTCAGTTCCCTCACGTTAGCTGAGGAATTCTGGAAGTTGAAGTCCACAAGTCATAAAAGGGTCATAGTTCCCTCACACTGGCTGAGGAATTCTGGGAGTTGAAGTCCACAAGTCATAAAAGGGCTAAGTTTGAAGACTTCTGACATAATATGTTAAGAGAAGGTCTAAATTCTATTGCTACAGTTTATAAATGGGATAGGGTTTCCTGCCTGATCAGGGGGTTGGACTAGATGACCTCCAAGGTCCCTTCCAACTTATTATTATTATTTTGGATCATCGCACAGTCAGCCAGATGTTCAGACTGGATTTGGCATTTTGTCTACCTATCGAGTCCTTACCCAGGACCTGGGATAGGCAGATGTGGATGTTTGATGGTATTACAGATATCGTCGCAGGATGGAAGCAGTTCCTAGTAAGGCCGCCTTTTGCAATTGACTAATAGCGAATTTGTCAATGCCAATGGTGTTCAAGTGGTGCTCCAGTTGTTGTTGTTGTTATTATTATTATTATTATCTTTTGTTGGAAATTTGAGTCAGAAGAACAAGTTAAATAACGTACAGGGAACCCTCGAATTACGACCACAACAGAGCCCGACATGTCGCTAAGCTAGATAGTCATTAAGTGAGTTTTGCCCCATTTTGCGACTTTTCTTGCCAAAGTTGTTAAGTGAGTCGTTGCGTTTGTGAAGCTAGTCACCCGGTTGTTAAGTGAATCTGGATTCCTGTTGATTTCACATGTCAGAAGGTCACAAAAAGGCATTACATGACCCCTGGGACACAGCAACGGTCGTAAGTATGAACCATTTGCCACGCGTCTGAGCTCCAACGGTTGTAAGTGTGAAAAACGGTCACACCTCACTTTTTTCGGTGCCGTTGTAACTTCAAACGGTCGCTAAATGTTGTAACTGAGGACAACTTATATACAAATGGACTCAAGGCGAAAATGTCTGGTTGAAAGAATGGAAGTTTTCATTAAGTTCCAATCCTAAAGAGAATTTTTATTGAACGATGTGCCGTGGGATGCGATGCCAGAATTGTCTAAAATGTATAAAGATATCTGAAATTTATGCTGTGAAATATGGACAACCTAAAAGGGACGTTTTGTCATGTTTTGTGGATGTGTATTTAAAAAAAAAAGCAAAAGAAACCTGGATACCAATACATCCACTAATTCAGAAGATTTTTAAATACAGTTAAAACCAGAGGCTGTTCTTTTGGGATTAATGGACAGACAGCTTGAAATAAGTCATGGAGCTTCCATTTTATATACGACAACTGCGGCAAGATTATTATGTGCTCAGAAGTGGGGAGATCTGACACTATCCACAACAGAGAAATGATTGGTGAAGATGGTGGGACTTGCAGAGAAATCTCAGCTGACCTCCTTGATTAAAGAAATGACAATATCTACATTTATGACTGGCTGGGAACCCCTTATGGACTTTTTGCATGACACCCGAAAAAAAAAATCCACCTATGATTTGTGGGTTTGAAGATTGGGGGGGGGGGGGAAATCACGTAATAGAAAAAATAGGAAAAAAAGTGAGCTTTTCTTTTTGTCATTGTAAGAAGAGATAACTTTATAATTGTTGTGCTTGCTGCAAAGAAAATTAGTAGCTTCTTTTTTTCTTTCTATCTTTTTTTTACACATTTACCATTTCCTTTCTTTTTTTCTTTTCCTTTTTACTTTCTTTCCTCTCTATTAGGTTTATATACAGGATGGATGGATGGATGGATGGGTGGTGGGTAGGTGGGTGTGTAGGTGGGTAGGTAGGTAGGTAGATGCTAAGATAGATAGATAATGAATGCTAAGATAGATAGATAGATAGATAGATAGATAGATAGATAGATAGATAATGAATGCTAAGATAGATAGATATATAGATAAATATAGATGCTAAGATAGATAATGAATGCTAAGATAGATAGATAATGAATGCTAAGATAGATAGATAGGTAGGTAGGTAGGTAGGTAGGTAGGTAGGTAGGTAGGTAGGTAGGTATGGATGCTAAGATAAATATATAGATGTTAAGGTAGATAGATATTTAATGCTAAGATAGGTAGGTAGGTAGATAGGTAGATAGATAGATAGATAGATAGATAGATAGATAGATAGATAGATATAGATGCTAAGATTGATAGATAATGAATGCTTAGATAGTTAGACAGACAGACAGATAGATAGATGGATGAATGGATGATAGGTAGGTAGGTAGGTAGATAGATATAGATGCTAAGATAGATAGATAATGAATGCTTAGATAGATAGATAGATAGATAGATAGATAGATAGATAGATAGATAGATAGATAGGTAGATAGATAGGGATGGATGCTAAGATAGATATATAGATATTAAGAAAGATAGATATTGAATGCTAAGATAGGTAGGTAGGTAGGTAGGCAGGCAGACAGACAGACAGACAGAGAGAGAGAGAGAGAGAGAGAGATATAAATGCTAAGATAGATAGATAATGAATGCTAAGATAGATAGATAGATAGATAGATAGATAGATAGATAGATAGATAGATAGATAGATAGATAGATAGATAGATAGATAGATGGACAGATGGACAGATGGATAGATGCTTAGATAGATGCTAAGATAGATAATGAATGCTAAGATAGATAGATACAGATAGATAGATAGATAGATAGATAGATAGATGCTAAAATAGATAGATAGATAATGAATGCTAAGATAGATAGACAGATAGATGCTAAGATAAATAGATAATGAATGCTTAGATAGATAGATAGATAGATAGATAGATAGATAGATAGATAGATAGATAGATAGAGACAGATAGATTAGGTAACATCGGTGCTGGGAGGGAGGGAGGGAGGAGGAGGGGAAGGAGAACAGTAATAGATGAGAAGGGGGGGGGGGTTGCTCTTATTTTTATGGACTAGTGGCTTGCCCTGTCAATATTGGTGGAAGCGTTCTTGGTGGTTCCCTGATTGAGCTGTTTTATACCATTTGCTGATATGAGTTGTTAGTTTCTTGGTTCGGCAATTATTTACTTCCGATTGTTCATCTAGTGTTGATCTTGGTGCTATCTCTGTTTTACTTGGTGTCGATTGCTGGCGAGTAGGTGTTTCGGTCCTTTTGTTTCCTTTTTAGATTTCTGATTGTCTCTTTTAAATAGTATATAGACGTCGTTTATCGCTCTGTGCCTGTTGATGGCTCATGTTTCCAAATGCTCCCTGCTCGTTTTTTTTCCCCCCAAGCGAAGCATCGTTCTATAGGAAAGTTTTATATTCAGCTTAAGCCTGCAAATCACAGCTTGTTTGTTTTGGCTTCCACGGTAAAATTGTGGCTGGACTTGGAATCCTACCAACTTATTGAAGTTGAGCTATTTTCCCAAGGTGTAACGGTTGGGCATTCACAACCTCGCCGGACAGGAAGTTGTGCAAACTGTCCCAAATTGTTAAAAAAAATCCTCTCTTTTTTTGTCCCCCACAGCTGATCCGTGTACCGGTGGAATCTTGCGAACAGTACAAAAGTTGCAGCGAGTGCCTGGGCTCGGGGGACCCCCACTGCGGATGGTGTGTGCTTCACAACATGTAAGTGTGACTCGCTGGGACCGGAGAAGATGGCCGCCCTGTGTCTTTCTCTCGTCTCGTCGTCTTCTGTCTCACCTTTTCTCACCATGGTGTGTAAAAGACGACAAAGCTTGCAAATGGAGAAGCCCATCCTCCAGGGAGATGGGGGACGGGTCGTCGGAAATGGACCCCTCAGCTTGGAAAGAGAAAAGGGAGGAGAGGAAGGAAAAGATTGGTGATTTTTGCTAAAGCGTAGCTGGAGCTTGTCTGTGCCGATTGGTTGTTTGGAAAAGCCGCGGCTTCCCCATTCCTAACATCTCATTAGGAGACGGTGAGTTCTAGTCCCACCTTAGGCTTGAAAGGTGATTGGGTGACTTTGGGCCAATCGCCAGGAGGCTGTGAATTCTAATTCTGATTTAGGCATGAATGCTGACTGAGTGACCTTGGGCCAGTCGCCAGGAAGCTGTGAGTTCTAGTCCCATCTTGGCTTGAATGGTGATTGGGTGACTTTGGGCCAATCGCCAGGAGGCTGTGAGTTCTAGTCTCACCTTAGGCTTGAAAGACGATTGGGTGACTTTGGGCCAATCGGCAGAAGGCTGTGAATTCTAATCCTGACTTAGGCATGAATGCTGACTGACTTTGGGCCAATCACCAGGAGGCTGTGAGTGCTAGTCCCACCTTAGGCATGAAAGGCAGCAGAATGGCTTTGGACCAATCACGAGGAGGCTGTGAGTTCTAGTCCCACCTTAGGCTTGAAAGATGATTGGATGACTTTGGGCCAATCGCCAGGAGGCTGTGAGTTCTAGTCCCACCTTAGGCATGAAAGGCAGCAGAATGGCTTTGGACCAATCACCAGGAGGCTGTGAGTTCTAGTCCCACCTTAGGCTTGAAAGATGATTGGATGACTTTGGGCCAATCGCCAGGAGGCTGTGAGTTCTAGTCCCACCTTGACTTGAAAGGTAATTGGGTGACTTTGGGCCAATTGCCAGGAGGCTGTGAATTCTAATCCTGACTTAGGCATGAATGCTGACCGGGTGACTTTGGGCCAATCACCAGGAGGGCTGTGAGTTCTAGTCCCACCTTGGCTTGAAAGGCGATTGGGTGACTTTGGACCAATCGCCAGGAGGCTATGAGTTCTAATCCTGACTTAGACATGAATACTGACTGGGTGATTTTGGGCCAATCACCAGGAGGGCTGTGAGTTCTAGTCCCACCTTAGGAATGAAAGCTGGCTGGGTGATTTTGGGCCAGTCCCTCCCCCTCAGCTTCACCCATCTTATATGAGTTGTGATGAGAGAGAGATATTGTACGTACACCGGCTTGATTTGTATAAAATGAAGGTGGGTTTTTCCTGCCTGAGTTCATGACCACGGTTTTTTCACCACTGACTTGCATCTTCTGCCAGTTCCGTCGCCATCTTTTCAGCCCAGATAGTCAAGAACATTTTTGATGGTTGATTTGAATGGGGGTTTTTTGGGGGGGGGGAACGCTATACTGTCTTTTTTTTTTTTTTTTTTTTGCTGTAAGCTGCCCAGACTTGTTGGGTAGGAGAGGGCCAGCAAATTATAATTTTTGTAAACAAACAAACAAACTTTAACTCCATCTCGTTGAATGGCACCTCCTTGGAGAAAAACAATTGGAACATCTTCAGCAGAGGTTGGGCGATGTCTGTGTCGCTGCTCTTCTGCTTACAAGGGCTTCCGGTGGGGTGTGTCAAGGGAGGATCGGGTGATGAGTCAGGTGTGAGTCATCAGGGAAAGGCTTGCGATGGGTCTTGTGATGGGGAGGTTGGAGCAATCGATTGGAGCAACACAAAAACCATCGGCCACATTACCCACCCGCCACGCTTGTGAGTTTGTGGAAGCCTGGCACTTCACAAGCAGTTCCATCAACAGACACATCGGCCTACAAGCAGACTACGAATCCCTCAGAGTCCAAATCAACCACATAGCCAACCAGGGACAGCATCGACCCTCAACCATCCCGCGCAATCCCCTACTATCAGCAGTTCACCTCCTAAGGATCCTGGCCTGATGTAACCTCCTCATCACGAGACCCATCACTAGCCTCTTACTGATGACTCACACCTAACCAGTGTTGGGATTCAAATAATTTAACAACCGGTTCTCTGCCCTAATGTAAAATCTGTTAGTCCTCATCACCGGCGCCACGTGCCCTCGTGTCATCCTCATCACTGCCACCACACACCTCATATCATCCTTCCCACCAGCGTGACGTGCCCACAGTGGTGGCATCACCGGCACAACACGCGTCACGGTGGCGGCGTCACTAGCATGACGCATCTGGCAGATTTATCATAACTGGTTCGCCAAACTCAAAAAAAAATTAGGCATTGTTGTTGTTGTTAGTTGTGAAGTTGTGTCTGAGCCATCACGACCCCGTGGACAAGGTTCCTCCAGGCCTTCCTGTCCTCTACCATCTTCTGGAGTCCATTTAAGCTCAGGCCTCCTGCTTCAGGGATTCCATCCAGCTACCTCATTTTCTGTCGTCCCCTTCTTCTCTTGCCCTCCATTTTTCCCAGCATCAGGCTCTTCTCCAGTGAGTCCTTCCTTCTCATTAGGTGGCCAAAGTACTTGAGTTTCAACTTCAGGATCTGGCCTTCTAGAGAGCAGTCAGGGTTGATCTCCTCTAGGACTGACCAGTTGGATCGCCTTGCAGTCCAGGGGACTCGCAGGAGTCTTCTCCAGCACCAGAGTTCAAAGGCCTCCATTCTTTGGCGCTCGGCCTTTCTTATGGTCCAACTTTCACAGCCATACATTGGGCCTTGACTATACGTACTGTGGGAAGTAAGCCCCCAGAGAAGGAAATATTAAAAGGGCGGGAAAATATATTTTCTCAAAGGATCTTGAAGAGGCAGGAAAGCGTGCCCAGTTTTCTTAATAGCCCCAAGTCTCCCTTCCCCAGCAGAAACCAGCTCTATAGACATGCAGATGTAAATCCAGGGAGCTAGGAGATTAAGAAGACAAAGACCTAAAATCTACATACCATATCCAAACTCTAAGAGTGATCAGCCCCAGGGAAGCAGGATATGACCTTTGGACATAATAAGATTGACCCATCACTATCAGAATACCAGGAAAGGCACACTCAGACTCAGGTCAAAGTTCAGGAACAACTCCAAACAAAAAGCTCCAGAGCAGTGGTTCTCAACCTTTTTAATGCAGCGACCCCCAACCAGTCGTAAGTCAAGGACTACTCAACCAGTCGTAAGTCGAGGACTACTCAACTGGTGCAGCACCGTTTGCAGAATGGGACTTTTGGCGGGCTCAGCAGGGCAGAGACAGCCTGGACAATTCCTATTGGCTTTTGAAAGCCAATAGAATTAGACTCTATTCAAGAGAGTCTATTCTATTGGCTTTCAAAAGCCAATAGAATAAAAGGGAGTAGCACAGCTAAGGAAAAGGGGAAAAAATGGCGGACTGCGTTGTTTGGCGACCCCCCTGAAATGGTCGTTTGACCCCAAATGAGGTCCTGACCCACAGGTTGAGAACCACTGCTCCAGAGGGTATAAAAACCTACTTCCTACACGTGCTCAGCCTTTTTTCCACTTTTCTTGCTGCCAGAACCATCTTTCTTCCCAAAGCAGTTGCCATGTTTATTCCCAGCTTGGATGAACCAGGATGAAGACTTTTCTTCCAACAGTACTTTTGTTGGCAGTGTAATATCTCTGCTTTTAAGTATGCTGTCTAGATTTGCCATAGCTTTCCTCTGGTGAGAACTGGCTGAATGCCACCCCTGCACCTCACCCATCACAAAACCCTCACTTGACACACCCACACCCGAAGCCCTTATAAAAAGGATTGCCCAGACGTCCCCCAAACTCGTCTGAACAGGTTACCTAGCTTGATAACAAAACATTCTAGAAACTAACCCACGAGGTCAGGGAACGAAACTTCTCCTTCGTCCTACACATGCATGACAGATATTGGCCACCATTGCAAAAACAATTGTTTTGTAGGGTGCAAGCGAGGTGACTTCGAAACGATGGGTGCCACCCTATGTTTTTAATAATAATAATAATAATAATAATAATAATAATAATAATAGTAATAACAACAACAACAACAACTTAACAATTGTTGATAAGAAAGACAAAAAAGTCTGGATAGTAGACGTGGCAGTGCCTGGAGATAGCAGAATAGAAGAGAAAGAACTGGAGAAGATAACAAAATACAAAGACCTACAAAGAGAAATAGAAAGACTGTGGCAAAAGCAAGCAAGGGTAGTACCAATAGCCATAGGCTCCTTGGGTGCAATCCCAAAACAACTGGAGCACCACTTGAACACCACTGGCATTGACAAATTCGCTATTAGTCAATTGCAAAAGGCGGCCTTACTAGGAACTGCTTCCATCCTGCAACGATATCTGCAATACCATCAAATATCCACATCTGCCTATCCCAGGTCCTGGGTAAGGACTCGATAGGTGGACAAAATGCTAAATCCAGTCTGAACATCTGGCTGACTGTGCGATGATCCATAATAAAGATGATGATGATGAAGTTGAATGGGACCTTGGAGGTCATCTTGTCCAACCCCCCCTGCTCAGGCAGGAAACCCTATACTATTTCAGACAAATGGTTGTCCAGTCTCTTCTTAAAAACTTCCAGCGTTGGAGCATTCACCACTTCTGGAGGCCGGTTGTTCCACTGGTTAATTGTTCTCACTGTCAGGAAGTTTCTCTGGTTCTAAGTTGCTTCTTTCCTTGATGAGTTGCTTCTTGTCCTGCCTTCAGGTGCCTTGGAAAATAGCTTAATTTCCTCTTCTTTGGGGCAGCCCCTGAGATATTGGAACCCAGCTATCATGTCCCCCCTCGTCCTTCTCTTCGTTAAACTAGACATACCCAATTCCAGCAACCGTTCCTTATAAGTTTTAGCCTCCTGTCCCCTGATCATCTTTGTTGCTCTTCTCTATACTCTTTCTAGAGTCTCAACATCTTTTTTACATCGTGGCGAGCAAAACTGGATGCCGTATTCCAAGCGTGGCCTTACCAAGGCCTT